CATACACTCTGAATGACCTAAAATTATAAATCCTATATTGGTCTTTCACAGTCAGGCCAACCCAAGATGTACTGTGCAAGTAGGCCAATAGTAGGCCTACTATTGAAACAGATCAGTTAGGCTGTCAACTGAGTCAGAAATTCATCTTCGCTCTCAAAGTCACACTTTTTTAATAGAAAAACTACTAAATTGGATGTTTTAAGTCCATAAGAATGCTTAAAACTGTTACAGGAGGGGTTCGCAGTTCCGGAGCGACCCACTAGGTGTCATCCTCCGACAACCTTAGGCACCTCCTCACTCACAGTCGGGACTAATCATCTTCCTATTGGTGTCACCTGTGTCTATGTGATTCAACTGTGTATTTATGCCCTCACTTCCCTGTGTTCCCTTGCTAAATTTTCTCTGCTAATTTCACTATGCCAAGCAGTACTAATCACTGTCGGATTGCGGGACGTATGGACAGGTACGTGAGAAGTGTTCTCCCTGTTTATTTATTACATAGTTAGCATTTCGTATTTTGGGCTGTCTGCCTGTTTTTTGGAGTAATAATAATAATAATAATAAGGGTTATTTGCTCCGCCTTTCTTTTCTGTGTAAAGTCCATTATTTTGTATCCTGGCTTCGGGACCATCAGTAAAGTTCCTTGTTTCACCATCTCTACCTACTGCCTACTGTCTAACCTGCACCGCACCTGGGTCACACCAACCCTTACAGAAAACTGAGCCACTATGGACCCAGCGGAGGCAGCACAGTATCACAGCGCATTGGCAACGCAGGGATCCATCCTGAACCAGCACGACCGCAGCCTGCAGCAGATCACCGAGAATCTCCGCCAGCTGAGATGGACACCCGACCAGCACCGGCAGCCGGCGGAGCGGAAGCCGCGGCAGCGGCGTCTCCAGTCTCGCCTGCGACATCGCGGGAACCCCGCCTACCACCTGCGGAGAGGTACGACGGACGTTCAGAGGGCTGCAGGGAATTCCTCACCCAGTGTTCCCTGATATTCAGCCTCCAACCCTCCTCCTTCCCGACGGAGCAGGGCTATCACTCTGTTGATGGGTCGGGCCCTTTCCTGAGCTACCGCGGAGTGGGAAAGCCAAACTCTGGTGGGCTCCGATTCCTACCTATTCACCCGGGAGCTACGCAAGGTGTTCGACACCTTTCGGGTGGTGTTGGGGCACGAGGCTGGGAGGCGGCTCATGGCCTGTCGGCAGGGTGACCGTTCGGTGGCGGACTGCTCCGTGGAGTTCCGGACCCGGGCTCGAGAGGCAGAATGGGAGGAGGCCGCCCTGGTCGTCCTTTACGCTCAGGGGCTATCGGAGGGGATGAAGGACGAACTCTTCTTCAGGGAGCTGCCTGAGCGACTGGACGGCCTCGTCAACCTCTCAGTGTGGGTAGACAATTGGCGTCGTGAGAAGGCGCACGAAAGACGCATAACGCAAGGCATGCCTCCGCGTCCCCCTATCAGCCCGGAGGCTTTCCGCCGATTCCGGGAGAAGACGCCTCAGGAGGAGGCTATGCAGCTGGGTGCGGCGCACTTGTCCAGGATGGAGAGGCAGAGGCGTCTGCGCCATGGACGTTGCCTGAACTGCTGCCAGACAGGTCACCACAGCGAATCATGCCCGGAGAAGCTGGGAAATGGGAGGGCACCCCTCCCGATACTAGCGAGCCGGAACCGAAACCCCAACTCCACAGACTCCCAGACTTTTCTCCCCGTCAGGGTTCAGTGGGCCCACGCTGCACGTCGGGTGCATGCACTGGTGGATTCTGGGGCCGCGGGAAACCTGATGGACGTGTCGCTGGCCCAAGGGTGGAGCGTTCCGTTACACTCCATCTCCGATCCGGTTCCGGTCATGGACCTGGATGGCCGGCCGTTGGGGTCGGGCTTCATCACCCGGCGCACTGTCCCCGTGCGTGTCCAGGTGGCAGGGGGGCTATGGGAGGAGATCCAGTTTTTCATTGTGGACTGTCCGGAGTATCCCCTCATCCTCGGGCACCCCTGGTTGGTCGCCCACAAACCCCAGATAGACTGGTCCACGGGGCGGCTCATCCTGGAGGGAGGCGGAGCGGAATTACGACGTGGGGAACCGTGAGCTGCTAGCGGTCAAGCTCGCCCAGGGGGAGTGGAGACATTGGCTAGAGGGGGCCGCCCATCCATTTGTCGTATGGACTGACCACAAGAACTTAGCCTACATTCAGAGGGGCCAAGAGGCTCAACTCGCGCCAGGCCAGGTGGGCGTTGTTCTTCACCAGGTTCCGGTTCACCATCTCATACCATCCGGGGTCGAAGAACACCAAGCCTGACGCGCTCTCCCGACAGTTCGACCCCATGGACCTGGTGGAGCGGGACGACCCCATTGTCCCCAACGCCCTGATTGCTACCCCAGTTTCGTGGGGAGTCGATAGGCTGGTCAGAGCAGCGCTATGGCGGGAGCCCGATCCGGGCGGAGGTCCATCGGGGAGGATGTACGTACCCAAAGCAGCGCACTCACGACTGCTTCAGTGGGCGCACGCATCCTACCTCACCAGGCATCCGGGGAGCGCCAGGACATTGGAGTTCCTGCGTAGGAGGTTCTGGTGGCCATCTGCTGAGGGGGATACGCGCGCCTTTGTGGCTGCTTGCCCGGTGTGCGTGCAAACGAAGAGCTCACGTCAACCCGCGGCAGGGTCCATGGCCTTCCCCAAGATGTGGTGTCGGATCGGGGCCCTCAGTTCGCCTCCAGGTTCTGGAAGGTGGTCGCCACCTGCCTCGGCGCCTCCGTCAGCTTGTCTTCCAGCTTCCATCCCCAGTCGAATGGGCAGACGGAGCGCTACGCCTCTAGCAATCCAGCTACGTGGAGTCAGCGACTGGCGTGGTTTGAGCACGCCCACAACACCCTTCTCTGCTTGTCCACCGGCCTGTCCCCCTTCCAGTGCCAATACGGGTACCAACCCCCCCTATTCCCCGAGCAAGAGGAGGAGGCGGCGGTCCCCTCGGTCCAGGCCCACATCAGTCGCTGTCGCCGCACCTGGAGGCAGGTACGGGCGGCGCTTAAGCGGGCCTTGGTCAGGTCTCAACATCAGGCCAACTGCAGGCGTTGCCCGGGACAGAGGATCTTCCCCTCCGCGTGGAGTCCAGGAAGCTGTCCCCCCGGTTCGTCGGGCCATTCAGAGTAGTCCGGCGAGTCAACTCAGTGGCATACAGCCTGCAACTTCCCCCCCACCATACGGGTGCATTCCACATTCAATGTGTCCCTCCTCAAGCCCGTCGCCACCTGTCCCCTAGCTCCCCCTCCTTGTCCTGTTCCCCCACTGCGCCTCGTCGGAGGGCAGCCGGCTTTTACTATGGACCGGATCCTGGACTGCCGGCGGGTGGGGAGGGGTCTCCAATTTCTGGTGGACTGGGAGGGTTATGGGCCGGAGGAGCGGTCCTGGGCACCCAGGAGGGACATTCTGGACCCAGGGCTGATAACAACATTCCGTCGCCTCCACCCGGAGGCGCCGAGGTGAACGGCTGGGGCCGTTAGTCGGGGGAGGGGGGCACTGTTACAGGAGGGGTTCGCAGTTCTGGAGCGACCCACTAGGTGTCATCCTCCGACAACCTTAGGCACCTCCTCACTCACAGTCGGGACTAATCATCTTCCTATTGGTGTCACCTGTGTCTATCTGATTCACCTGTGTATTTATGCCCTCACTTCCCTGTGTACCCTTGCTCAGTTTTCTCTGCTAGTTTCACTATGCCAAGCAGTACTAATCAGTGTCTGATCGCGGTACATATGGACAGGTACGTGAGAAGTGTTCTCCCTGTTTATTTACTTTCTCAGTCATAGTTAGCATTTTGTATTTTTTGAGTCTTATTTGCTCCGCCTTTCTTTTCTGTGTAAAGTCCGTTATTTTGTATCCTGGCTTCGGGACCATCAGTAAAGTTCCTTGCTTCACCATCTCTGCCTACTGCCTACTGTCTAACTTGCACCGCACCTGGGTCACACCTCATACCAACCCTTACATAAAACACATCAGGTTTTCACATTTAGATTTTTTTTGTGTAGTTACCATTTAACATTGAATTAAGAAGGTTTTTGGGGAAGCCTTTCCATCTACCAGAAAATGTTAGGCGTATAATAGCATCACTATATTTTTCCTGTTCCTTAATTGTTTGAAACCTGGACGTTTTACTTCATATTATGAGTCATGTCTTACATTGCTTCAAAGTAGCCTATAGCCAAAATCCCACCAGAGAAACGTGGAGGCAAATATTTTATAAAGACTTACTCATATGCGTTCTCCTGTTCTATTGTTTCTTTCAACTTTCTTTCATTGTCTAGCAACCAAAGCCATTATCGGAGTCATATTAGCAACCCATGATAGTTGTTGCATTTTTAGATCTCCCCTCTTTCTACATTTCTAACCGATATTTCCATCTCTGTCCATGAAACCTCTTGCATTTTAGAACGGTGTTTACAGTCACGTGTAGACCTACTGCCTTGTGCACATCGCTGCACCTAAAATGTGAAGAAATAATAGTTTATCAACATTTTAAGCTAAACATTCTGATCTGTTCCATCAGCCTTATTATTTGATATGCGGTGAAGACACTAATGTCCATGGGCTTAGCGCAGCGTTTGGCCGGAGCTAGCCTCTGGTCATCACTAGTTACCACAGCCACAAAGTCATAAACACTGCCTATTTCTACCCAAAATGTGTTTTTAACTTAACCTTAACCACATGCCTAAACCTAACAGTATGCCTTTTGCCTAACCATAACCTTAAATTAAGACCAATAAGTTAATTTGAGTTTTCATGAATTTTTACGATAGACCTATTGCCAATTTTTACTTTGTGGCTGTGGTAACTAGTGGTATCAACCAGATGTTACGGTTTTCAAAGGGTAATGGTAAGAGAGCCTGTGACGCGACTTCCGCGTTAGGACCATAATAAAGCGAAACTCCATCTTAACTCCTCCTCCACATTTACTGGATTGGTTGAACAGTGCACAGAAGACCATCTCCCCCGACCGTTTTTTTTTCTTCTCGTCAAGACCAGTCTGTAGGTGATCAAGTTTCAGGCGTTTCTTTTTATGCTTGATACGTTAGGTTAGGCCGGAGCAAGGAGTTTGGGGTAGCCAGGCAAGAGGGGAAGTGATTGCGCTCGGCCACTGTGCGTGAGTTACAGCCGGGAAGTGCATCTCTACTCTCTACTGCATACTCCCATTTGCTCCTAAACCTAGAGAATTCACTTGATATCTGTTGGGTTGACAGTTGATTTGACAGGGTGAAAACATAGACCTGGATTTCTACTTGGGGAAACTGAAATAACGAAAATGAACGAGACAGAGCACATCCCGCTTGCAGAATACGATTTTGAGAGAAAATTTGATGAAAAGGGCGCTCTCGAATGGATGCAAGAAAACTGGTGAGTAGGCTACCAATCCATCCCTGGATAAAAGAATAGCCTAGCCTACGTGGTCTAAAGCCGGTGAATTCCCTCCCTTCGCCGCCAATTTTGGATGGATTGAGCTCTCATCCATACACTATGTCATGTAGGCTACACGGCTTGCTTCGCACCGCAAAGAGCCATCGTTTACAGATTTACATGTGTATCGAAGAGCGGATACAATTTGTTGTGTTAGTTTTGACTATGCTACAAAGTAACGTTTAGTCAGTCGTTGATACATAATGCTACTGTAAATTGAAATACTTTTTATAGTTCTCCGGCCTCTTTTGAAATGTCCTTGACGATGCTACCAACTTAACTTCAGTTTTCATGTGCATGGTTATAACCGGTTATCTTTTATTAACGTTAATGACCTTTGATCCATCGCATGATGCAGAAGCCATCCCCTCTGCTGCTTGTTACATTGTTACTACAATATGACGTCAAACTCGATGTATAGCCTATCTGCTGCTCACTTCAGTTTGTGTAACATGCACGTGCAGTCACATGCAATGAATGATTACTAAATATCTAATGTGATGATTACTGTATTAAAAACATAGGCATATATACAATATAGGATATCAATAGGCCTACATTTAATAACTTTTAATATCAACTCAAAGGCTCTCCCCATTAAATTAGTATGGGCTACTCAGCACACAAACCAAAAATGGTCTCAAGTGCTTCTCTTTGTGTCCAATCAAATGTGTGAAGACCAAGACAGACCACGTTTCTGCACAGACTTACTTGGGATTTTCTAAACTTAAGAGACAGTCTCAGAGGCAAGAAAGCTGTCAATGTGGATTGAAAAATTCCTGGAAATGTGCAGTGTTGGCCAAATAAATTCACCCTGTTTCACCCTGCCCATGCATTCCTCAGATCGAGCTCATTTGTGTAGGCTACAGCAAAGCATCAAAGTGGAGGATAGCCGGAGTAGTCTAAAAGCACATCTAGTGAGGCACACAAAACACCAATGCTTTGCTTGCATGTGACATCCAGGCCTACCATGCTGTGATTAATGGGCGAGACCTGCTTCAGCATGCATTCTGCTGATAAGCCAAACAAGCTAGCTAGTTGAATAGGCAGAAATGTCTGCTTTCTGAGAACATTTGCTCCCACAGGACCATCCATCCCTCTCTTGGCTCTCAGGCCCTCATTTTCTCTCGTTCAAGGAGCAAAATAAGGCCCACACATTGTATTTGACCTCCACCTCCAAAGGATACAATTACTACCGATTCTCTCCATTCTCCTTTTCCCTCTCTGTAATGCCCATCACACATTCCCTGTATCCCAATGCATAGCTAGTTATGATAAGGCAGTCTACTCTGCATTGTTTGACACTCAGAAATAGGGAGTGCACTACATTGAGCCACTCCAGTTTACACAAGTGGCGCAGCGGTCTAAGGCACTGCATCTCAGTGCTTGAGGCGTCACTACAGACCCCCTGGTTCGATTCCAGGCTGTATCACAACCGACGTGATTGGGAGTCCCATAGGGCGGCGAACAATTGGCCCAGCGTCGTCCGGGTTTGGCCAGTGTAGGCCATTTAGAATTTGTTCTTAACTGACTTGCCTAGTTAAATAAAGGTAAAATAAAAAAACACAAATGGAGGGGTTCACTGGAATACTTGAGCGATCCTCGCTATATGAGCCACGTTACAATTCCCAACAAGTGTGTTAACCCTAATGGCGCGATACATAGGTTGTTTGTCTTTCACGACAGTGACCCGGGTTCACTTCCCTGTGGCAAAATGCATGAATAAATCAACTTAGCTGTATAATAGTTTTACATTTGTTTTTGACTATCCGTAGACACAGTGATGGTATTGCACTTAATGCTTCCCTATAGAATCCTTCATCAGTTTAGTGATGTTTGGGACAGAGAATGACCACTGAAGCCTTACTGCCCTGTATATAGTCCTACTAAACTGGGTCATCTGGTCTGTCATCAAAATAAACCCCCTCTGCAGTACACACATCATTGCTTTTTACTATTCAGCCTTATTCGCCTGAGTGCCTCAACTGACCTTTTGGTTAAAAAAATTGTCCAGTCAGTGATCTATCTAGTATTCTCATTGCAACCCGCTTCCAGCTGTTTTCACATTGCATCACAGTTGATTTTAGACGGGAGCGATATATACTCAATCTAATTGCCTGATTACCCACGGGCTGCAGTAGTAGATGTTCTGGTTAGTATGTCAACATCTAAGTTTGGTTAATCATTGGTTCCATGATTACGAATAGCGATGGGGACTGTAAAATAGAGGGGATAGAGGGGGGAACAGCTCATAATAATGTATGGAATGGAGTAAATGAAATGTTTGATACCATTCCATTAACTCCATTCCATCCATTGCACTGCATTCCAGCCATTATTATGAGCCGTCCTCCCCTCAGCAGCCTCCACTGTTAATAGCCTTATGTAACATCATCTGTATAATGACAGTAAGGTATCAGTCTGTGGGAATTTAGATGATCGGGTTTAGCTTAGCTCGCCTCGTGGCTTGCTGTGTGTGTACATTCAGAGGACTGCCACCAAGTAAAAAGGAACTAGAAATGTGAACTGCAGTGTCAATCCTAAAAGTCGGCTAAGGACTGGTTCATCCATTCAGAATGATCATTGATCACATAAATGCATGGTTGGAGTCTAAAATACACTACCGGTCAAAGGTTTTAGAACACCTACTCATTCAAGGGTTTTTCTTTATTTTTTTTACTATTTTCTACATTGTAGAATAATAGTGAAGACATCAAAACTATGAAATAACACATGGAATCATGTAGTAACCAAAAAAGTATATTTTATATTTGAGATTCTTCAAATAGCCACCCTTTGCCTTGTTGACGGCTTTGCACACTCTTGGCATTCTCTCAACCAGCTTCACCTGGAATGCTTTTCCAACAGTTTTGAAGGAGTTCCCACATATGCTGAGCACTTGTTGGCTGCTTTTCCTTCACTCTGCGGTCCGACTCATCCCAAACCATCTCAATTTGGTTGAGGTCGGGGAATTGTGGAGGCCAGGTCATCTGATGCAGCACTCCGTCACTCTCCTTCTTGGTAAAATAGCCCTTACACAGCCTGGAGGTGTGTTGGGTCATTGTCCTGTTGAAAAACAAATGATAGTCCCACTAAGCCCAAACCAGATGGGATGGCGTATTGCTGCAGAATGCTGTGGTAGCCATGCTGGTTAAGTGTGCCTTGAATTCTAAATACATTTTTTCACAGACAGTGTCACCAACAAAGCACCCCCACACCATAACACCTCGTCCTGCTTTACGGTGGGAAATACACAGTCTCCTCTGAACAGTTGATGTTGAGATGTGTATGTTACTTGAACTCTGTGAAGCATTTATTTGGGATGCAATTTCTGAGGCTGGTAACTCTAATGAACGTATCCTCTGCAGCAGAGGTAACTCTGGGTCTTCCATTCCTGTGGCGGTCCTCATGAGAGTCAGTTTCATCATAGCGCTTGATGGTTTTTGCGACTGCACTTGAAGAAACTTTAAAAGTTCTTGAAATTTTCCGTATTGACTGACCTTCATGTCTTAAAGTAATGATGGACTGTCGTTTCTCTTTGCTTATTTGAGCTGTCTTGCCAAAATATGGACTTGGTCTTTTACCAAATAGGGCTATCTTCTCTATACCCCTCCTACCTTGTCACAACACAACTGATTGGCTGAAACGCATTAAGAAGGAAATAAATTCCACAAATTAACTTTTAAGAAGGCACACCTGTTAATTGAAATGCATTCCAGGTGACTACCTCATGAAGCTGGTTGAGAGAATGCCAAGAGCGTGCAAAGCTGTCATCAAGGCAAAGGGTGGCTATTTGAAGAATCTCAAATATAAAATATATTTTGATTTGTTTAACACTTTTTTGGTTACTACATGATTCCATAGGTGTTATTTCATAGTTTTGATGTCTTCACTATTATTTTACAGAGAAAATAGTAAAAATAAAGAAAAAACCTTGAATGAGTAGGTGTTCTAAAACTTTTGACCGGTAGTGTAGAATAAAGACAGCCTCCAGCTATTTTTGTTTTTTTTTCCTGTTGAAAAGCAATATCCCAAGTATAAATACAGTAAAATACACTCACTAAAGGGGGGGGGAAATGTTTTGAGCAAAATAGTGTTTTTTAGACAACTGCAAACTTCAAGGAGTAGGGCATTCAAGGAGTTGGTCTGATGGTGCCCACTGATGTCATCGACCTCCCCCTTTGCTTGAGGGAAAATAGTAATAGAGAATAAAAGAGGTAAGCCCCTCCACTTGTGCCACATCATGAGGCACCTGGTGTTAAATTAGGTGAAAAGGCGACTGGAGTAGGACTTTAAAGCTTGTCTGCATTTCCACCCTGCTCTCATCTAAATCATGGCCTAGGGCACAGGTAAGTACACTAATCACTTAAGAACAGGTTTGATGATGTGTTTTTGTGTTTATTTTTTCCTCAATAGGAGCAAGTCCTTTATGTTCTGTGGACTGTATGCTGCGATCATCTTCGGGGTCCAACACTTCATGAGAGAGAGGCCCAAGCTGAACCTGCGCCGACCACTTGTCCTCTGGTCACTCAGTCTGGCTATTTTCAGGTGAATGACACACACTGACCACTGTGTTGCAGTACTATAGCTTTATGTGTATTCCTAAACAACATCAAACTATAATCAATCATTCAATAAATTACTCAACCAATCAGTGTGAGTGAAGCTCTAACTGAACAGTGGTGGTGGTTAGCCTCGTTATCCTCCCTCATCCTTGCTAACCTCAGCATGGGAACTGTTGGCCACGAAGATGTTTGTAGATAGAGCTAGTTCTCTCTCAGAATTAACAGGAAGTGGCCTTATCACAGTGTTTAAATGGACTATTGATTTAGGGGGTGACATTTTCCTCTTCTAAACACACACATGGAGTACGTAAAAACAGGGATTTCTAGAGCGATATCTGAAAACTTCTCCTTTATAACTCCTCTTCTTTAAGGACATCCATGAGCACTTTGGAGCAGGTTTTCATCAAGGATCTCTCTGTACTTTGCTCCGTTCATCTTTCCCTCAATCCTGACTAGTCTCCCAGTCCCTGCTGCTGAAAAACATCCCCACAGCATAATGCTGCCACCACCATGCCTCACCATAGGGATGGTGCCAGGTTTCCTCCAGACGTGACGCTTGGCATTCAGGCCAAAGAGTTCAATCTTGGTTTCATCAGACCAGATAATCTTGTCCTTTATGTGCCTTTTGGCCAACTCCAAGCGGGCTGTCATGTGCCTTTTACTGAGGAGTTGTTCTGTCTGGTCAATCTACCATAAAGGCCTGATTGGTGGAGTGCTGCAGAGATGGTTGTCCTTCTAGAAGGTTCTCCCATCTCCACAGAGGAACTCTAGAGCTCTGTCAGAGTGACCATCGGGTTCTTGGTCACCTCCCTGACCAAGGCCCTTCTCCCCCGATTGCTCAGTTTGGCCAGGTGGCCAGCTCTAGGAAGAGTCTTGGTGGTTCCAAATTTCTTCCGTTTAAGAATGATGGAGGCCACTGTGTTCTTGGGGACCTTGAATGCTGCAGAAATGTTTTGGTACACTTCCCCAGATCTGTTCCTCGACACAATTCCTTTGACCTCATGGCTTGGTTTTTGCTTGGTCTGTCTTTCCAAATCATGTCCAATCAATCTACCACAGGTGCACTTCAATGAAGTTGTAGAAATATCTCAAGGATGATCAATGGAAACAGGATGCACCTGAGCACAGTTTCGAGTTTCATAGCAAAGGGTCTGAATACTTATGTAAATAAGGTATTTAAGTTGTTTATTTTTAATACATTTGCAAACATTTCTACAAACCTGTTTTCGCTTTGTCATTATAGGGTATTGTGTGTAGATAGATGAGGGAAAAAAATAATTGTATCCATTTTAGAATAAGGCTGTAATGTAACAAAATGTGGAAAAGGTCAAGGGGTCTGAATACTTTCCGAATTCACTGTATAATTGGCTGTGAGCCAGGGTTGGGGTCAATTTCATTTCATATCCAGTTCATTCAGGAAGTACACTAACATTTAAAAATGATCTTCAATGTTTTTCCATGAAGAAAATGTGGAATTGGAATTTGGTAAACTTTCTGAATTGACTGGAACTGAAATGGAATTGACCCCAACCCTGCTGTGAACTCAGATATATATCCAACAACCATATGTAATCCAGGTGAAGTCCCTATACAATGTACTATATAACGCTGTAAAAGTGCTTTAGAAATGCTTTAGTTATTATTAAGGAGGAGTCAAGGAGTACACATAACCTCATTTTACAGCCCACAATAGGGTGAGTTGTTTTAATGTGCCACAGAGGTACATCATCATCATCTGCCCCCTGCTGTGCCAAACTTAATCCTAATCCCAGAGCCGTGGGCATAACCTGCCCACTCAATCCCACTGCCGGTGCACTTTATAATCCATATATTCATTACTGCACAATAACGGCAACATTCTACCACATAGGTTTTTGAAGAGTAGACTACTGGCCTTTGTAATAGATAGGTAGTTACCAATGATGAGGTTGGTGTTAGGTTGTTACCATATACTGTATAACATATAGATAGATAGTTACCATTGATAATGTGGAGAAGGTTGGTGGTAACTATAGATAATGTTGTTACAGATAGTTAACGTTGATAATGGTGTTATTGATAGGTAGTTACCATTGATAACATAGTTATAGATAATTAGTTACCATAGATAACATAGATAGGTAGTTACCATTGATAACGTTATGTTAATCGCCCATGACTGTGCATTTTTCAGAGCAGCTTCAATATTTCCCTCATTCTCAAAATGTCAACTGTGTCTCAAGGCTCTCTTCTTGTGTTGTTCCCACTGCTGTTTGACTGGTGTTTAGTTACATGAGTTTGGGGATGTCTTCCTGGAATATCACTGGATCATTTTTACATGACATTTTTACATTATTTTCATAGGGTGTCCAAACTGAAATGACCTCACGCTGTAAGTAGCCACAGTGTGTTTCAGATGAGAAGGAAAGCTACAAATCTATACAGTGTTTACTAACCATACGCATCCTGTTTACAAAGTAAGAGCATGTGTGTCTAAGTCTTAATGGAGGTCTAAAATGGTTGGAGACAGGGGAAGGACAGCCAACTGGAGATGTGACCCACTGATATGTCTTATCTCTTATCTTGGTTTCAGGTTTAGAGCGTCATGGCAACTGTGACAGTTCATATAGTTGAGAGGTATATCACATTGCATCATGGCACCGCAAAGCTGACAGTATATAATATAGTTGAGAGATGTATATCGCATTACGTTATGAAAACCACAAAGCTTACAGTTCAGGTGTATAAAAATATGAGCTGAATTCGGATGTTTACAAAACACCTACTTACAGTCCACTCTGATCGACCATGGGCATTATACTTGTGTTAAAAAGGTTTCGTATACCGATAACGTGTGTAATTGTGAATTCCCTATAGTTAGACTAAGCAGATTCACGTAACACTATACATTATCTCTTTAGTAAATCTATATGTGTTCCATTCCACAGTATCATCGGAGCTGTCAGGACCGGTTGTTACATGTTCCATGTCCTCAACAAAAGTGGCTTTAAGCAGTCGGTGTGTGACACCAGCTTCTACAGCGCCCCTGTCAGCAAGTTCTGGGCCTACGCCTTTGTCCTGAGCAAGGCCCCTGAGCTGGGTAAGGAATGTCCCAAATAGGGTCCCGTTCTGAATGCTTCAGATAGAAATACACTGAGTGTTCGAAACATTACGAACACCTTCTCTTTCCATGACATAGACTGACCAGGTGAATTCAGGTGAACGCTATGCTCTCTTATTGATGTCACCTGTTAAATCCACTACAATCAGTGTAGATTAATTGGAGGAGACGGGTTACAGAACGATTTTTAAGCCTTGAGACAATTGAGACATGGATTGTGTGTGTGCCATTCAGAGGGTGAATGGGCAAGACAAAATATTTTAGTGCCTTTGAACGGGGTATAGTAGTAGGTGCCAGGCGCACCGGTTTGAGTTTGTCAAGAACTGCAACGCTGCAGGGTTTTTCACACTCAACAGTTTCCTGTGTGTATCAAGAATGTTCCACCACCCAAAGGACATCTAGCCAACTTGACACAACTGTGAGAAGCATTGGCGTCAACATGGGCCAGCATCCCTGTGGAACGCTTTCGACACCTTGTAGAGTCCATGCCCCGACGAATTGAGGCTGTTCTGAGGGCAAAAGGGGGTGCAACTCAATATTAGGAAGGTGTTCCTGATGTTTTGTACACTCAGTGTATGTCATGTAGAACAGACATGCATTTACTTCTCTGTCATGCAGTGTAAGATAGTAAGCTTGCCTCGAGCTGATGTATACAAGATATTTCTGACCCTGGCCAACGAGTGGGAGCGATGGAGTGGATTGTAATTGGTCAATTAGGTCAGAGGGCCAATCAAAGAGAAGGAGGCTGGTAGCAGGACAAAAAACTACCTTGAAACAATTTGTCTATTTATGTAATTCCGGAAGCATTTGAAGTTTCTAGTGCACTGATGATCAGTGGAGGCCTATTAGCTCAAGACCTGTGTGGCTGCATCTTGATGCCGTCTCCTCTCCCAGAGCAGTAATCTAGTCACTTCTGCCTATCTGTCAGTCAGACAGGGATGCAATAGCACTGATAAATGGACAGAGATGCTGAGGTGGCGAAAAAATCCCATTAGGAAATGATCAAGAGACACGAAGGGCATCAAATCAAACTTTATTTGTCACGTGCCAAATACAACAGGTGTAGACCTTACCGTGAAATGCTTACTTACAAGCCCTTAACCAACAAAGCACCTATAAGGTGAATGCACCAATTTGTAAGTCGCTCTGGATAAGAGCGTCTGCTAAATGACGTAAATGTAAATGTAAATGTAAGAAAGAGTTAAGAAAATGTTTACCAAATAAACGAAAGTAAAAAATAATAAAGAGTAACACAATAAAATAATAAGGCTATATACAGGGGGTACTGGTACCAAGTCAATGTGCGGGGGTACAGTTTAGTCGAGGTCATTTGTACATGTAGGTAGGGGTAAAGTGACTATGCATAGATAATAAACAGCGGGTAGCAGCACTGTAAAAACAAATGGGGGGGGGGGTGTCAATGTAAATAGTCCGGGTGGCCATTTGATTAATTGTTCAGCAGTCTTATGGGTTGGGGGTAGAAGCTTGGGGCCCCGTGTATGTCAGTTGGTAGAGCATGGCGCTTGCAACGCCAGGGTTGTGGGTTCGATTCCCACGGGGGGCCAGTATGAAAAAATAAATAAAATAAAAATGTATGCACTCACTAACTGTAAGTCGCTCTGGATAAGAGCGTCTGCTAAATGACTAATAATAATAATAATAAGCTGTTAAGGAGCCTTTTGGTCCTAGACTTGGCGCTCCGGTACCGCTTGCCGTGCGGTAGCAGAGAGAACAGTCTATGACTTGGGTGACTGGAGTCTTTGACAATTTTTTTGACTTTCCTCTGACACCGCCTAGTATATAGGTCCTGGATGGCAGGAAGCTTGGCCCCAGTGATGTACTGGGCCGTACGCACTACCCTCTGTAGCGCCTTACGGTCAGATGCCGAGCAGTTGCCATACCAGGCGGTGATGCAACCGGTCAGGATGCTCTCGATGGTGCAGCTGTATAACTTTTTGAGGATCTGGGGACCCATGCCAAACCTTTTCAGTCTCCTGAGGGGGAAAAGGTGTTGTCGTGCACTCCACGACTGTCTTGGTGTGTTTGGACCATGATAGTTTGTTGGTGATGTGGACACCAAGGACCTTGAAACTCTCATCCCGCTCCGTCGTTAATGGGGGCCTGTTCGGCCCGCCTTTTCCTGTAGTCCACGATCAGCTCCTTTTTAAAAAACCTTTAATATTGCAGATAGATTGTAACTTCCATCAATGTAATTGTCTGCATCACTTCCAATCCCCCATGTTTTTTTTCTCTCGCAAATATATATATATATATATATATACATACATACATACATACATATACACATACATACATATAAATACATATACATACAGTTGAAGTCGGAAGTTTACATACACTTAGGTTGGAGCATTAAAACTCGTTTTTCAACCTCTCCACAAATGACTTTGTGCATGACACAAGTAATTTTTCCAACAATTGTTTACAGACCGATTATTTCACTTATAATTCACTGTATCACAATTCCAGTGGGTCACATACACCAAGTTGACTGTGCCTTTAAACAGCTTGGAAAATTCCAGAAAATGATGTAATGGCTTTAGAAGCTTCTGATAGGCTAATTGACATCATTTGAGTCAATTGGAGGTGTACCTGTGGATGTATTTCAAGGTCTACCTTCAAACTCAGTGCCTCTTTGCTTGACATCATGGGAAAATCAAAATAAATCAGCCAAGACCTCAGAAAAACAATTGTAGACCTCCACTAGTCTGGTTCAACCTTGGGAGCAATTTTCAAACGCCTGAAGGTACCACGTTCATCTGTACAAACAATAGTACGCAAGTATAAACACCATGGGACCACGCAGCCGTCATACCGCTCAGGAAGGAGACACATTCTGTCAACTAGAGATGAACGTACTTTGGTGCGAAAAGTGCAAATCAATCCCAGAACAACAGCAAAGGACCTTATGAAGATGCTGGAGGAAACAGGTACAAAAGTATCTATATCCACAGTAAAACGACTCCTATACCGACATAACCTCAAAGGCCGCTCAGCAAAGAAGAAGCCACTGCTCCAAAACCGCCATAAAAAGCAAGACTACTGTTTGCAACTGCACACGGGGACAAAGATCTTACTTTTTGAAGAAATGTCCTCTGGCCTGATGAAACAAAAATAGAACTGTTTGGCCATAATGACCATCGTTATGTTTGGAGGAAAAAGGGCGTAGCTTGCAAGCCAAAGAACACCATCCCAACCGTGAAGCACGGGGGTGGCAGCATCATGCTGTGGGGGTGCTTTGCTGCAGGAGGGACTGGTGCACTTCACAAAATAGATGGCATCATGAGGAAGGAAAATTATGTGGATATATTGAAGCAACATCTCAAAACATCAGTCAGGAAGTTAAAGCTTGGTCGCAAATGGGTCTTCCAAATGGACAATGACTTCCAAAGTTGTGGCAAAATGGCTTAAGGACAACAAAGTCAAGGGATTGGAATGGCCATCACAAAGCCTGACCTCAATCCTATAGAAAATTTGTGGGCAGAACTGAAAAAGCGTGTGCAGCAAGGAGGCCTACAAACCTGACTCAGTTACACCAGCTCTGTCAGTAGGAATGGGCCAAAATTCACCCAACTTATTGTGGGAAGCTTGTGGAAGGCTACCCAAAACATTTGACCCAAGTTAAACAATTTAAAGGCAATGCTACCATATACGAATTGAGTGTATGTAAACGTCTGACCCACTGGGAATGTGATGAAAGAAATAAAAGCTGAAATAAATCATTCTCTCTACTATTATTCTGACATTTCACATTCTTAAAATAAAGTGGTGATCCTAACTGACCTAAGACAGGGACTTTTTACTAAGATTAAATGTCAGGAATTGTAAAAAACTGAGTTTAAATGTATTTGGCTAAGGTGTATGTAAATTGCCAACTTCAACTGTACATATATATACATATCCTATTTTTAAATATATTTCCCTTCATTACTTTCCAACCTCACCACCCCTTCCCTAATTGGAGTAAACTAGTGAACAACAACGCTTAGGCCTCTACTTCCAATTTATACATCTATATACATTTTATGGACACAGTCAATTTTACAATAATTATATTTTGTTTGTTTTTACTCCTGAACTTCCTCTACCCTCAACCTCTCCGATCATTTGCATGATGTCCATCCGGTTTGCTTCTATATATCATATCTTTCTAACTGTGCTCTTTCACAAAAGCTCTCAACCTGTAACCTATACACTTATTATGGACACAGTATGCTTTACATTAGTTATCTTGTTGTTATTAGTTGTTGTTAGTTGTTATTAGTCCCATCCTTCAGCTCCATTCAACACCTCCCATCTATCTTTTAACACCATCCATATTGGATTTCTATTTGCCATATATTTTTCAACTGTACTGTGATGTTTCACAAAAGTTCTGAACCCTTCTATTCTCATTGTTTCTACAGATTGTAAATTGAAAATAAACATTTTTGCTAAAAGTATTATTATATTATTGATCGATTGACTATGACTTTTCAGATCACCAAGTAGTGCTATTTGCAGGGTTAGCTCCAGGTAAATATTACAATCCTTCAGCCATTCCTGGACCTATGTCCAAAAACAAGCTATAAATGGACAGTACCAAAACAAATGACTAAAACAAATGATCTCTTCGCAGCAAAATCTGCAGAGCTGGGAAGATTGTATCCCCCATATAAATAACATTCTATTGGTAGCAATAATTGTATATAATAATTTTAATTGAACAATTCTAAGTTTTGAATCCGGCGTCGTTTTGCGTATCAGTTCATAAACACTATGCCATTGCATCGGTACACCAAAAATCTCTTCCCAACTATTTTGCAATATATATGGGACGGCTGTCAATCCTTTGGTCCTTACATTTAACTGGTATACTTATTTATTTATCACAGTTTTCTTTAACCAATTATGTTCTTTAATGCAAGGCCGACAGACAAGTTCCTTACTT